CGAGTTGGACCGAAGGGTCTGTTTCCATGATGTACAGCTCTATGACTGTATGTGGGCTGCCATCTTCAATTGGATGATGGTCCGGGGTGGTCACCCATTTAAATGTCCACATGGGGTTGATGTACACCCAAGATGGCTGAGGGAAGTAAGGCTGGAAATCAGCTTTTCAAGGTCTATTAGGGATTGGCAAAAAATGCTGGCCCAGCCAGTGACATCTACCTCCTATGAATAAAAAAGAATCTTCCAACTCCCTCTTAGATATAGGAAAGGTGCCAGAGGAATGAAGATTTGCAAATGCTACATCCATCTTCTTAAAAGGCAGAGGGATAATCTGAGAGATGCCACTGAGAGAACTTTTTAAAAGACAATAATCTGGGAAAATTTAATAGACAATGAAACTAACGGATTAATTAATGTAAGGCAAAATGGATTGATTATAGGCAAGAGAGCATCATAGGAGAAGGAAGCCTTCCTGCTCCTATGATGCTGCTTGGCCTGCTGTGTTCATCCAGCTCTACACCTTGTTATCTCAGATTTTCCAGCATCTGCAGTTCCTACTATCTCTTTGCAGTTAGCTGCCTGGTCTTATCAGCTGCTTTCACATCTCCAATTCTTTTTGGTGGATTTTGACAGTGGAATAACATGCTTTTTGTTCCCTCTGGTTCTTGACTGTATTGAATTTCAATTAATTTTAAAAACAATATAAGGCTGCCAAGTTAACTAAGGTAAGCGGCTGTTCTGATCAAATCTATGGTTTAAGTGAAGACTGCCAGCCATTTCTGGTCCTCATTTCTGGTGGAACTACCTTCCTTCTGTTATCTGTTGCTACTTCATTTCTGGGCCTGGCCTCTCCCCCAGACCTGGGCCAGTACTTAAGGCCCCAACCATGTGTCCTGAACTACTAACTATACATCCTCAAGTTTTTTCCTGCCCCTCCAGCTGATTTTCCCTGTGGTATTTTCACTACCTGCTCTTCCTTGTGCTCTCAGTTGTCTCCTCCCCTTTCTCTTTCCTCCTTTCACTCCCGTGCCCTTGATTCTAGAGCTTCCCTACTCCAGTTTCCTATCATTTTAAAACAACACAAGCTATAAGTGAACCACAGAAGATTGTGTGTTCTGTCATTACTTATGCTTCCAATAGATGCCATTTCTGTACCTTATTAACTACAACTTCATAAACAAATCCAAACTGAATAGGTTGCAAAACTACCGAGAATGTACAGTCAAAATTAATTATTCAGAAAGGAACTGATCATGAAACATATTTATTAAGTGCTTGAAATTTTAAATGTTTTTACCAGAAGGGCTGCACATCTTTCAGGTACCTGGGAGTTCTTGCACTCATTGCTAGCTTGGAGACGTCTTTTGACAGTTTCCCTGAATGAGCCAGTACCACTTTAGGATATAACTACCAGAATGCAACAGAGGGCCACCTTCCTTTTGAACCTGAGTGCCAGCATGTTTTAGTGTGTACAGTGGTGTATTGATTTTTATTTTTGATTCGTGATCATTCTGAAAATGCTGGACGACTTCATAATTTCCACTATCTCCATGTGTCTGTGACAATTCAGATGATCTGAACCCACTAAGTGTAAGAACATCTTCATTTTCAACAATGAGTGGAACCTTTGGCGGAAAAACAATGTGAACAACCACGTACAAGGCCTTATAATAAAGAAAATGTGCAGAATACTTAATTTAGTACAAATATGAAACAGTTTTAAGGAAAGGGAAAAATACTTAATGAACCGTGCTGAAGCTAATTAGAACTTATTAAATTTTGAATTTCCTGAGCAAACACTGCTTAAACTTAATAATTGAGAGTTTTCTTAGAAAATAAATCCATTTGACCCAATTTTTCCTTCACAGAACAATACATTGCATCAGTTTGGACCAGTAATATTAAAACTGTGCTTTAACTTATACAGCTACACCACAGGATTTCACGTTTTTGAGCAAAAACATAAAATGCTATTATTTTTTCAAGAATTAAAAATAAAAAATAATCTTAACTTAATGCTGTTGATTACTATGTATATTATGCATACGGTTCTGCTTCTTACCTCTTCAAAACTTTGCCCTCTAAGACACATCCATCTTAAAATTTATTTAGTTCTATAAGGACTACCCATAAGTGTACCACAGTCCTTTGAAATTTACTTTAATTTTCCTCGGATCAAGCCATTCTCAGATATAAAACTCTTTGTTTAATATCTCTTCACTCTGGGTGCCTTTGTCCCTTGTTCTTGCTACTTCCTGAGTGCTTCTTGGCTAATTCTACAAATTGCTTCCTTTGCCACAAAGCTCTATGAGGACCACTGTAGATGTCATCTCTGGCTTGGTACTACACAATATTCCAGCTTTTCCTCATGAAATTCAAACTATGATTAAGGCTAATGCAGTGAATGACAAAGTTGGTTGCAGTATAGGTGCTTCTAAATGCTGTTTACTTGGGCTATCTTAGTGAGCTTAAAAACACCTGCATACACCAGATCGGCTAAAATAACTTATTCAACATATATACAGATAAATTGAAACTAGAAAATCTCCTTAAGCTTCACTTAGCTCCATAATGTGACATACTCTGGAATGTCCTCTCACAGATTTAATTATTCCTCATTTATAATATAATCTTCCTCCTGACAAAATAAATAGTTTGTACAACTTTTCAATGTTTACCGAATGCATTTAAACTAATTTAACCTCTCCGAAAACAAAAGCATCTCTCCAGGCTGCCTTTACTGGAAGGATTGCAGAATCATGTCTCCAGCTTGTATGACTTATATTTCCTTAGGGGTTGCTTATTAGTGTCTTAGCCAGGTATGTCCATTAAATGTAGATTCTTCATTTAACCTTTTGACTTGTAACCTAAAAAATTAATTTCAAAATACATGAACTGTGAACTAAGTATTCGCAACAATTTTAGTGCCCTTAAGCAGTTTAAAAAACCAACTTGTGTGAGAAATTCAATGCGAGTGCGCACATTTATGAAGGTAATATGTTGTAAAGAATTTATCTGTCATTTTCACCTTGATTTTGGGATTAACTCAGTCTGTGCTCTCGCAATGCTTTTGTTCACCACATATACGGAAGTGTGCAGTTCTTGGTTGCAAAGGAACAACCTTAACACCTGTATTCCTGCTTCATCTCAGGCCTTGTTGCTGCATCAAATATACTGGACTGCTCTGTTCCCTTCTGCCCGGACACACAAGTTGATTGACACAAGGGAGAACTAGTGGATTAAAATAGAATTCGTCCTTGTGCTTGAAAGATCTTCACAAAACTCAATGTCTGAATGTCATAAAATTGATCTGAAAATTGCAAATTAAACATCAGTGTGTGTATAGTATCTTCCCTGCTTACGAAAGTTTCAACTTTAAGATGGGTTGTAAATAATTTACTTCGAGATAGACTGATATTTTATGTTCAACTTTGAGAATGCACTCTGGTATTTATATCAGTGATATGTTTTGCTATTATGTAAAAGAAAATTGCTGCGTGTTAGATTCCTACCATGTGGCACTTGATTGAATGCTGGCTGTAGTTGCACAGTAAAAGCAATCATTTTTGTTTTCAAGTCGACCCAGTAAAATGTTTCAGGTTGTAATGGATGTAAGTACCACTTGATGGCTTGCATGGTGGCAGGAAGGTAGCTTGTGTTGGAGCACAATAGCTGTTGCAGTTACTGTCTAAAGTTAAAACAATTGGTGTTGCAATAATAACTGTAATGAGCAGATCATTTCAAAAGTGTGTGCCTCTGCTCTCTTTCCCCAATAAACAGTGTTGAAAGATTACAAGTGTGTCCAAGACACTTGGGGTACCTAAAATTGGAATCCATATCATTATTGTATGACATTTGTACAGCTACTGTTTGACTAGATGCATTGTGAAAGCGGTTCTGGAAAATTAGTTCTGAAACTAGCATTTACAGTATCTTATTAGTAATGCTTATAACATTTTTTTTGTTTTAATTGATAAAAGTATCAACTAGAAGTTGATGAACATTCAGTTGAGGGCTAACTTGCTTGGGTACTTCTCCATTCTGAACAATAGTGTGTCTCATTAATTTATCGGTTTTGCAGCATTGTGTAGTCTTGCTATGCATCAGTTTCTTTTTAATGCAGCATCAATGCTTTTAGTGTTTTGGTCCTCAGGATGTGGCATTCAATAATGTAAGTATTGACAAGTCTTGGCTTTCTCAGCACCTTGCTTATTCTTTAGCCTCTGATTTAAATTAGGTCCAAGTTCATTCTTTAATTCAAACGTTAGCAATAATTGTGTCCCTGTTTTGCACCAGTTCAAAGATATTTCACAAAACATCTTGCAGTTATGTTTGTGTAGACCACACTCTATGCGTAACGTGAGGTACCGAATCAGACGTTATTACAGAAGATGATTGTAACTGTTCTTTTTTTTTCTGCACAGGAAATGAACAACTTTGTTGCTATAACAACAATATTTTCTTTTAATTGTTTAGGAACTAAAAGACTTGCAACGAGACCCACCAGCTCAATGTTCAGCAGGTCCAGCAGGAGATGATAGTAAGTGTTTCCTTTTTAAGATTTACACTTTCAAATTTATTGTCAAAGGAGATTTTTTTCTAAATATTGCTTAATATTTCTTGCCTTCAATATTTAGTGTTCGCTTGGCAAGCCACTATCATGGGACCTGTAAGTTGCTCATAATTTTCTTATTCTGTGTTACTCAAGTTTTCTATAAAGCCCTGTTTACATTTAACATGTGGGATTTTCTTTTCCCCCCAGTATGACAGTCCATATCAGGGAGGAGTGTTCTTTCTTGCAATTCAGTTCCCCACAGATTACCCTTTTAAACCGCCAAAGGTAACTTTCATTTAAGATATTATGCCCTTTGGGAAGGAGGAAAAGTAAATTTTTTTTCTAGTTGTAATGGTAACTTTTTCTATTGTGAAGGTTGCATTTACAACAAAAATATATCATCCAAACATAAACAGCAATGGCAGCATTTGTCTTGATATTCTGCGATCACAGTGGTCACCAGCATTAACAATATCAAAAGGTATGACCAATGTTCTTGTTAGATTACTTTTTGAATTAATCTATTTTCTTTTAATATATTGTCCTCTTTTAGAGATTTTATTAAACCCTTTTTGCTCATCCAAATAAACATTTAAAAATTGGACAGGACCATTTGAAATGTGAAGACCTGGTTTTGAAGCTCAGGTTAATGAGAAGTGTCCTAATAGTCTACTAGCCTCAATCCATCTCCCTTGATGGTTCTCTATTTACAGAGTAGAAGTTTCAACCGGTAAAGTTGTGTAAGACAACATGTTGTATGAGGAAGAAAGTTCACATCAGTAGTTAGAGCATTAATGTATATATTGAAGAAGAAATGGCATGGATTTTCCTTTGGAAATCTAACCTCACTGCACTTCATCTGGTGCAAAATTCTAGACACTGAGGATTATCAGAAGAATTAAAGGTGAAGTTAGGTGACTATTTCTGAGAGTTGTTAAAAGTTGTTTTTGTTTTACCTCAAATGGCTCATGAGACAGATTACCCAAAGATTGCCCTGAATGGAATCCAACGGAAAAAGAAAATAAAAGAGGAATAAATGGATTGGATTAAGGATAGGAATCTGGGATTACAGTAGATGTCTCTGATGTTCTAGCCCAAGCTTAGTGCTAAACTTCAATTATGGTAGACCTGATGTTTGTTTTCTTGTATTTGCTGCAATTTTGAGGGAATGTATTGTTGGTGCCATATTTCAGATGAGATTTTCAACTAAGGCCACAACAGCCTTATGAGGTATGCATACAAGATCCTATCCCACCTATTGGAAGAAAGGCGGGGTGAACCCTTCTGGTGCATTGGCCAATATTCACCCCTCAACCTAGATCACTAAAACAATGTAACTGGTTGCTACTTGCTGTTGTAAGAATGTGCCCTCAGACTGATTTGCGTAAGTGAACATAGCATAGTCACAGTAGTTCATAAGAATTGCATTGATTGTGAAATGCTTTGCAATGTTCAGTAATGTGCAACATAAATTTTTGGTATATAGTCTTAATTAATTTCATCAATTAATTGTGTGATGCTTGCTTTTTTGCTGGCTGTGGTTTGAAGAGTAATGGGCGTTCTTCTTCTTTCTGGACAGTTTTATTATCTATTTGTTCACTCCTGTGCGATCCTAATCCTGATGATCCACTGGTTCCAGAAATTGCACACATGTACAAAACAGATAAGGAAAAGTAAGTAGCATCTGTCGAATTCTGAGCATCACCCAAGAATATTGTTTAATCTACAGGAAAAAATAGTTTGTCACATTTATACCATTATCAAAATCTAAGAAAATATGCCAGCAATAGCATTTTACTTTTATAAATATGCTGGTTAACTGTTGGATTGTGTGAATATTAAGGGGAAGTGCCCTGTAACTTAATTGCTTCAATCAACTGGAAGGAAATGACATTCTGTTTGACTGTAACCATATTTGATAGAGTCAGAGTTTTTACAGCACAGAAAGAGGCCCTTCAGTCCATCATGTTGGCACCAATCATCAAACATCCATCTGTCCTAATCCCGTTTTCCAGAACTTGACCCATAGCCTTCTATGTTGTGGCGTTTGAATTGTTCATTTAAGAACTTAAATCCCCTCTCAACCGCCTGCTCCTAACTTTAAAACTGTGCTATGACTACGACTGTCAAAACCTTGTACACCTCAATCAGATTCCCCCACCCCCACCAGCAGTGCCACAGCTTTCTCTGCTCTAAGGGAAGCAACCCTAGCCTATCGAGTCTGTTTGCATAGCTAAATCTTCCTGCATAATTCTTGCTGTCTATTCTTGATTCACTCTTGCCTTTGCAAGTGGAAATTAATTCTTTTTAATAATTAATTTTTAATTAATAATTTGTAGTAACTTTGTTTCCAGTAGTTTCCTTAACATAGATGTTAGGCTCACTGACCTGTAGTTTCTTGCTTTATCCCTAGCAATCCTCTTGAATAATGCTATCACATTAGCTGTCTCGTAGTTGTCTGCCATCTCTCCTATGGCCAGAATATATGAAACTTAATATTAGAGCCCCTGTAATCACCTCCCTTGCCTCCCACAGAATGGCTGCTGCAGTTCAATGATCTCCGCCTCCCTGGCCCCAGGGAGTTATGTATGTGGCCATAGAAATTCCTGTCTGTGCCTCTTGCTGTTTAATTGCCCACCACTGTTGTTCTCCTTTTTCTGCTCACCTCTTGTGCAACTGGGTTCTGGCTGCATTCCCCAGAGGAACCATCTCTCACTGTTTTCCAATGCACAAAATCTGTTCTTGAGTGAAATACACTCTGGCGCTTTCCTGCCTTTCTCATTTCTCCTGACATGGTTACCCATTTTCCCTCCCTCACTGCACTGTGGAGGGATCACACCTAAAAAGATGCTATCCATGTAACTCTCTGATGGGGCACCTGTCATTTGTTAACATCTATGTTATTTAAAACAAATATTTTAAAAACCCTTGCATCTGATTAGAGCCACATAAAGTCCAGTTTCTGATTTTTCAATGATTGAATTGCTAGGAAGAAGCTGAGACCACCAAGATTCATTCCTATTTGGAGGATTTTACCCTATCCTCACAAACCTTCAATATATCTTTGAAGTGTTCATTCTTTGTATTGGCTAACATCTTTATTTTCCACTGTAGATAAAGAGGAGCTGGAGGGAGGCTTTGTGTCACTGGATATATTATTGTTTATTTTAGAACAAAGCCATTCAACTTAGGAAAATCAGCTCCCCATTCGGAGATGTTACTATACACCTCTGGAGCAGGTGGGACTTTAACCTTGGGACTCTTGGCTCTGAGATAGGAACACTACCACTGTGCTATGAGGCCCTTCACGCATAGTTGTTTGTGCACCCACCCATGACGTGAACCAGGTGTTATAGAGAAGCTGAAATTATTGGCAGAGCTATAGATTACCTCATCATTGGCTTGAGCACTAAAACATGGTTAAGACTAACTTCCCACAAACCTGTAGGGAGGCCTCCATCGCACTGATTTCAGAAGAGGTATCAACCAAGTTACCTGTAGAGAGCTCACCTGTTTTAAGTGAGCTCCCAATCTTTCTGTTTTAGACTGCAGAACCAATTAAGAAGTCTGAAATAGATGAAATGGAAAATGCAGATCAATTGGCATTATTGCAGTCACTTGAACATTTTGTTATTGGTCTGTCTGCCAGAGTTCTGTTCGTAATGCCAAGTCCTCCAGTTAAATTTGTGTTTGGTGAAATGCCAGTTTAGTACTAAGAGTAGTATTAAATTTAGGTATATAAGATTATATTAATTTACATTCAAAAAAGTTTGCACATTTGAACTGTTAAAATCCATGAACTTCACCAAAAGCCTTTATACAAATAGTCATTTGGTTGTACGTAACAGACTCTACTTGCCAATAGATCAGCAGTCTCGACTCATACACTGTCAACGTTGGTTTCACCTTAAATTGGTATTTTTGAGAAATGTCTTGAGTACAAGACAAAAATGCTAAAATGTCTTTTTTCAGGATTTATTGAATCATTTGTATCTATATTTTCATTCATGAATTTTATGCTAAATTTGTTTCTGTTTTATTTTTGACAGATACAACAAGCAAGCAAGAGACTGGACTCAGAAATATGCAATGTAGAATCATTGTTGGGTATACTGCAACAATCCAATAGAAGAAAAAGTGACAACACTATTTTTTCCAATTGAAACACATAGAGTTCACAATAAATATTCATTGTGGGCAATAAGTACTGTAAATTTTCTTAACTGCAAACAAAGTATGGTCATTGTCTGTTTTCAGAACTGCAAACTGTTCTTACAGTAATTGCTAAATGAGCAATGAGGCCAGTAGTTTACCAATAAAATTCCACGTAGTGGTGTTTTTGCTATTCTGACAAGCATTCCAACGCTACTTCTGATCTGTTATCTGGTACAACTGTTAATTCTATGCATTTTGGACTGGTATTAAGTATTTTCTGAGTCAGTTTTCTTTCACTTTGCTGCACTTGTGCCAAGATGTTGGTGAGAAATGTGGGAATAAGCTGGTTGCCAACAGTGATTTCAATGTCATAAACTGCACAAATGTTGGCCTGCCCATTCTTACTGCATTCCATTTATTTACTGGAAGTCCTGGAGATGCATCGGTCTCTTGGTCAGACTTGGAGTCAGTTTTTTTTTTTAAAAAACTTGCGCAGTTGACCTAATCACTCACCAAACCTTGTACTATGTTGCATCAACCAGACAATAACAAATTGAAAATTATCCCTTGTAACCATCACAATTAAAATAGCAATTTTCAATCTGGTTTAATGTCTTTTCATTAGGGATAGAAATGTAAATCTACATGGTGCTGGCTCTTTATAATTGACATATATACAGTATTATCTACCTCTGGTAAAATATATCTTTCTTTGCCTATCATCCATCTCACTGATTACAAGATTGTTTTGGACCCACCTCTAATTGGTTTGATATGCTTACTTGTGTTTATCCAATTTGAAGTAAAATTGCTGTTGTGAATGCTTTTGACGTTAAATGATAGATTAAATCACAGCCAATTTTCCAATTGCCTGGATTCCTTAAGCTTGAACTACAGCGTCAGAGACAATTTTAGAACATTTTGTCTCAAAGGTTTCTAAATTATTTAGAACAGTTAAAATCATGGATAAAATTTATTTTGCAACCAAAATGGATGATGCTTACTGCAAGCCTTGAATCATGACTGAACTTCTATCTTTATAGATATGACTGAAAAATGCACTTTTTCTCTAAACTGAAGAGCTGAACTGCTGCAGTTGTAATTAAAACAGTTGGACTGTTTTGCCAGTGATTTGTCTTCTTTTAAAACGACCTCATTTTTTTTCTGTTTGTCTGACTTACTCATCCTTACTGAAACCTGGAAAAGTCTCTGTATTACCGCATATTACTTTGCAAAGTACGTACCCTGTTTTGTGGTCTATCCCTTACCCTTCTTAAAAGCCAGTTTTTTGCTCATTTGAAACATTTAACCCTGCCTTTTTAGTCTTTTAACCCACTGTCAGAATCTCTGAACTTTAAACCCTATCACCTTGTCTCTCCACGGATGTTAGCTGACCTATAGAGTGTTTCCAGAATATTTCAATTTTTTGATTTGACTTCCAGAATCTGCATATCTTACTTTGTTCAGACTGATGTTCACAGGGGCTGGCCCATGATGAACAGAAGTTGGATTAAATTGTCAAATAGCCACTTTGAAGAAAACTTTAAGGCAGTGCCTGTAGGAGCTGGGCTTTTCGGTTATATCACTGGCTGAGAAATGCAAAGCAAGAGACAAAAAGGAATTTTTGTAAAAGAAACACGTCAGAGGCTTTTCTCCTCTTTTGATAACTCATGGCTAACTATGCATATCTGTTTTATTTTAATTGTTAAAACTTAAAGCAAGGTCGCTAGGCTTGTCCAACTTTCACTTTTTGTCCAAATAAAAATGCTCACCAAATTTAGTTCACATTGGCAGCTGTTATTTGTATTCTATATATTGTGTCTAGATCTGTTTAAACATTAATATTGGTATTCTCCAAATCCCCACACTAATTTCTGACATGGTAATAGCTGATAACTTTAGACTTTTAACACTGTGCCTGTAGTTTGTATGTACGGCATGGTATTTGCAACAAAAACTCTTTTCTAGTGAAATATATAAAATTCAACTTGAAAGTCTGTGATTTTATGGTATTGTGTGGCAAAACTACTATGACAAAATATACACTTTGCTTCAGGGGCTATTTGGCATCATGCCAAGGTTAGATCACATTTAATAAATCTAGTTGAAATTTGAAGAGGTAACAAATGTGATAATAATGTACGCATGTTATTCATACGGACTTCAGAAAAAAGTCCAGGAAATTCCACATGAAACTAGTAACAGGAATGATGTATGTAATTGGGGACAAGCTATTGGCTTGGCTAAGGAATTAATGAGATAGAAGAAGATGAGTGATTAATAAGTATGTACTCAGTGGCAGAATGTCTGATGATGACCTTTGGGCTCGCCACTAAGTCTGTATAGCCAAGTCTTCTAATCTGGGTCAAAATCTCTATTTCTAACCCAGGTCAGATAAAAAGCAGTGCACATCTTTAAGTGAGGTTTTAAGCCAGAGATAGAGGCCATCTCGAAAGCAAATAGAAGGCCAGTGCAACCAAGGCAGTGCGATAAAAGTTGCAAAATGGCACGATAGAAATGTACAGTAGTCCAATCAAACCATACCATGCAAAAATTATTTTACACAAGGATTTAGGGTATGAGTAGGCCATTTGGTCCCTTTAGGGTGCCTCACATTGCTGTGTACTGTCCATTGTGTGAGCAAAGACCAATGGAAGCTTTCCTAAAAAGGTTAAATTGCAAGATTCAATTGTATCCTGATAGTATTGGTGTGCAGATGGGTAGAAATAATAGTTATTTTAAGTTCTGCTTTGCTTTTTTTATCCTCTTTATAACTATTCACCTTCTTGAAACTTCATTTTATAAAGCTGTTAGATTCCCCATAACCTTCAAAGGTCATCAGCAATCTATATTATATATCCAAGTAATCAAAGGTCATCAACCAGAAAAGTTAACTCTACCTCTCTACAAAGTTGCTGCCTGGCCTGCTGACTCTGTCCAGTTTACTGTTTTATTTCAGAATGTGATAGCATCTGCACCTATTATGCTTTGGTTTTCATCAGTCCTGGACTGAAAACCATGGATGCAGGTTATCCCATCCCGTCATGATATCAGTGAAAATGAATGCAGATGGAAATAATAGCAGTTTTGCTTCTGCTGTGTCTTTTGTCCTTTTTATGACTTCTTCAACCCCTTGACACATCATAATTTTGTAATGAAAGCAAAATAGTGTGGATGCTGCAAATCTGGAATAACAGCAGAGAGTGCTGGAGAAACTCAGCGGGTCTGGCATCAGCTGTAGAGTGAGAAACAGGGTTAACCTTTTGATTGACTTTTCTTCATAACAGCCATTGTGTGTTTGTTCATAATTTTGTAAAGCTGGTGATTCCTCATAATTCACTTCCATACATCTTCCAAGGCATTCTCTATAAAGTCTGATAGTTGATATAATTCTACTTATATCTGCCATTTTTCCAGAAGAGGGCTTAACATTGCCCACATCAGCCATCTTAACTACCTGCACTATATCCATTTACAAACCCCTTCAGAGTGATTTAGTCATAAAGCAACATGGCCACTGCACATGTGCTGATGTGGCAAGTGAGATAACCTGGCCACAACAGCAGGCCACAAGAGGTGTGTGTATTACTGCATTCTGTGCATGGTGACATTATCAGCCTTACACTGGTCAGAAGGTTGGGGGGTCAAGGTAGATGCTTGGGTACTGACTGGAGTGGGACAAAGGGCTGGAGTAGGGGAAGCAAAGTGGAAGATTGGGAATGGGGTTTGTTGTGGGGGAGGATGCCTGTAACGAGAGTAAGCCTCCTTTTCTCCTAGGAGTGATGGGAAGGCTAGGAGGATGCTGGGATGAAATAAAATTCTGTGGTGCATGCAACTTTATTTCTGGTCATTTGAGAATGAGAAATTTACTTCCTGCTCTTTGCACCTTCTAGAGCTGGTGTTCATAGGGCTCTCATCCTTACCCTTTAGATATTTTCTAATCAACCTGTTCAGAGATGTTATTACACACCTTTGGAACAAATGGGACTTGAACCTGGGACTGCTGACTGAGGAGTGGGGACACTCACTCTTACCCTTTAAGATTGGCCTTCAGCTATTAGCCACATCTCAGTCAATGTCAGTACATTCTTTTTGATGGAAATGTTGATAATTGAAGCATGACCTAAAATCTCCACATACACATTACCCCATTCCCCTTTTCTGAAAAATGTGTTTCCCTCAATAATATGCAATTATTTACAACCTGACATTTACAAATCTTTGCTGACTGCCCCCTTTTGGTTTGTTCCTCTCTAAACATTCATTAATTTGATTCCATAAAAGTAATTATCAATCTATAATTTCCTGCATTTTCATTTCCTATTTCTTGAAAGAGATGAAAAATTCTACCACTCTTCTGTCTTTTGCCATAACTTAATTTAAGCATAATTTTACCAAAATCTTATATAGAAACATAGAAGATAGGAGCAGAAGTAGGCCATTCGATCTCTTGAGCCTGCAATACCATTCAATGATCACAGCAGACCATTGAGTTCAATACCCTAATGCAGCCCTACCCCCACATCCCTTGATCACTTTAGCCATAAGAGCTATATCTACCTCCTTGAAAACACAATGTTTAGACCTCAACACCTTTGTGGTCATGAATTCCACTGGCTCACCACTTTCTGGGTGAAGAAATTTCTCCTCATCTCAGTCCTAAAAGATTTATCCCTTATCCTTAAACTATGACCCTGGTTCTGACTCCCCCACCATTGGGAACATCTTAGCTGCACCTAACCTGTCTAGACCTATTAGAATTTTCTAGGTATCTATGAGGTCCCCTCTCATGCTTCTAAACCCAGTGAGTAAAATCCTAACCAACTCATTCTCATCATATGTCAGTCCTGCCATCCCACGAATGAATTTGGGAAACTTTCACTACATTCCGTCGAAAGCAAGAGCATCCTTCTTCAGATAAGGAGGCCAAAACTGCCCACACTGTTCCAGGTATGGTCTCAACAATGCACTGTATAATTGCAGCAAGATATCCATGTTCCTTTCGAATTCTCTTGCTGTGAAGGCCAGCAAACAGTTTGCTTTCTTTAGTGCCTGCTGCACCTGCACGCTTGCTTTCAGCAACTGGAGCATGAGGACACCCTGGTCTCATTGAACATTCCCCTTTCTCAATTTACGGCCATTGAAATAATAATTTGCCTTCTGAATTTTGCTACCAAAGTGGATAACCTCACATTTATCCACATTAGACTGCATCTGCGATACACTTGCCCATTCACACCCTATCCAATCACATTGTAACATCTCTGCATCCTCCGCACAACTCACCCTTCTGTCCAGCTTTGTGCTATCAGCACATTTTGAGATCTTAATGTCTCAGTCTTCACCCCACTCCCTTCAGTATTATAGATACATTTCAACAGGATCTAGTAGTATTTCTACATTTGACCATGCTCTCTCTTTAGACACTATTTCCCAAGTCATTTGGATGCCTTCACAGCCAATTAAGTGCTTCTGAAATGCAGACTCTTGTCAGAAACTCAGCAGCTAATTCATACACAGCCCACAAACAACAAAGCCATAATAACTGGATCATTTGTTTTAGTGAAGCTGGTTGTATGATAAATATTGGTCAATACACCGGGTGAATTCCACTGCTTCTCTTCAAATTGTGCTGTGGGATCTTCTGCATCTGCCTGACAAGACATAATCTTGTTGAATCTTGGTTTCATATCCCTACTGAAAAAGAGTACAACACACCTTCAGTCCTGCACTGGTGTATCAAATAACATGCTTAGGTTTCTAAAGTAAGTCATGGAATGACAATCTCTGACTCTGGCCAATGATAGTTACTAGATCATCAAAGACTTAATGCAGATATATGGGAAAATAAAAGAATATGCAGATCAGGTTGGTGGGGGTGTGGATGATTAAGTGGTCCAAATACAAATTTGTTTCCTGTGGAGGAGGAGAAAACCAATGTCAAATGCAAGCAAACATTGCGTATCTGACATGAGGTATAAGATTTTGACTAACAGCTCACAACAAGGATTTGGACCCCTCAGGAATAAAATCTAAACGTGATTTTACCCTGTGTATTTGCACATCCAGCCTCCTGTTTGATTGTGGATTTTATAAAAAGCAGCAATCCTACGACCTGCTGGACAGTGAGAAGTTATTTTTCCTATAAGTATATGTTTAAATAAAAGCCTTGCTTTACTCCATAAAATGATTTGCAGGTGCTGGTGTTGGACTGGGGTAGACAAGTTCAGAAATTGCATAACACCAGGTTATAGTTTAAAGTTTTGGCAAAGATCTGTAGCTCGGGTTGTGGATGAGGTTGTTGACTTGCTCGCCGAGCTGGCTTGTTTTTGTTCAGACGTTTCATCACCATGCCAGGTGGCATCATCAGTGGAGACTCCGATGAAGCGATGTTGTTCTATCCCGCTTGGAATTTATACTGTCCGGTCCATAATGGTGAGTACTGTTATTTCTGGTTTTGATCCATGTGGGTTTATATATGGGGTCCAATTCTATATGTTTGTTGATTGAAGTATGGGTGGAGAACCATGCCTCTAGGAATTCCCGTGTGTGTCTACGTCTGGCTTGGGCAACTATGGTTACTTTGTCCCAGTTAAACTGATGGCCTTCATTGTCTGAATGTACCGATATTAAGAAGAGTTCATCGTGCTGTTTTGCTGCTAGCTGATGTTCGTGTATTCTGATGGCTAGTTTCCTTCCTTTTTTTTCTGAAGAAGGGCCCCGACCTGAAACGTCAACTTTTCTCCTCCTCTGATGCTGCCTGGCCTGCTGTGTTTCTCCAGCTCCAAACTGTGTTATCTCTGACTCCAGTATCAGCAGTTCTTACTATCTCACACCTAACATGCATTGTCTAACCTAAAATGTCACCTCTTCTTTGCACTGATAAAACCTTCAGTTCTCTCAAGATAGTGACTTCAAAGGAATTCCAGGATTTACATATACATATTAATCAATTAAAACCTTCTAACTGATAAAAGATTTAACAGCAGCTTAGGTTTGTTTAGTACATCCTCATCAGTGGTGTGACTGTTTGATCTTTTACTTATAAATTCTGTGTCTGAAAGTACCTCTCTCACTAACACTTGATGAAGGAGTAAGACTCCGAAAGCTTGTGTTTTCAAATAAACCTGTTGGTCTATAACATTTGATTTCTGACCTTACTCCATATAATGGCATGAGATAAAGCTATTGTTGCCTGATAGATTTTTTTTAACTTTGATGACAGGCCCCTACCAAGGAACAGACGCAGGACTTACATGCAGTTGTCGACTAAAAATTCATTGTCCACCCCTGTGCTGAAACTTAACAGGAGAGGTTGACGTGAAGCTTCACTTTTTTTTTGCAAACACAAACTTCCCTGAGCATCAGCAGTGAGACTGTCATTAATTTAGAATAGAAAGAAATAGCCTTTATTGTCACAAGCACTCAAATGAGTGCAATGAAAAGTTTGTAATGTCGCCACTCTGGCGCCATCTCAGGTGCAGGGTAGCTAGGTACAGATACTTTATGTGTTTGTTATAGAATTGAAAGGGTAAAAAAGTAGTGTAGCATAGGAACACAAAGTTTTTTAAAAGTTCTCAAATTACTCAAAAGTCCACAATAAAAATTAAAAGTATCTTTAAAAAGTACTCTAATTTTAGTACTTTTCACTGAGTCCATGCCCGCTGGGCTTTCGAACACGAGGTGTCGCTGCCTCCACGCACCAGGCTCCAACCTGCGACTTGCTTCTGAGACTTGGACTGCCTCCCGCTCTGGGCTTTGCCTGTGACTCGCCTCCAAGACACAAGTCCCTGGCCGGCCTGGGCTTGGACCCGCTTCCTGTTCTGGTCTCTACCCCGGGACTTGCCGTAGGGACCCGTCTCCCGAGCTGGCATAGCCTCCACAGAAAACTGCAGCAAAGAGAAGAAAGAAAGAAAGGAAAAGAAACTAGCAAAGCAGAGGAGCTCTGGCTGGAGTATCCTGTTCTGCTGCGATCTTTGTTTCAGCACTTCATCACAAAGTTAGTTTGTTGAAGGAATAGATGTTATTAAACAAACTTTTACTTAAGGCACTGACTGCAGTGTGCAACCACTTGTATTTATACAGTTTACTAGAAGAATAAACTTTCCAAGGTAGTGACTTCAAAGGAATTCCAGGATTTACATATACATATTAATCAATTAAAACCTTCTAACTGATAAAAGATTTAACAGCAACTTAGGTTTGTTTAGTACATTCTCATCAGTGGTGTGACTGTTTGATCTTTTACTTATAAATTCTGTGTCTGAAAGTACCTCTTTACAAGCCTTGTCAAACAAAATGTGACACCATGACACACAAGGAGATGTTAGTGCAGGTGACCAAATATTTAGTCAAAGTGATATAGGTTTTCAGAAGCATCAGAAAGGACTGATGAGAGGAAGAAAGATGGATAGATTTTGGGAGGGCATCAGAACTTAAGGCCATGGCATGGCTACTAATGGTGGGGTGATTAATGTCAGAGGTGACGAAGACTGTGGAATTAGTGGTATCTCAGAGATTTACATCACTGGAGAAGATTAAACATAGCAAAGGATGAGGCCATGGAGGGGTTTGAAAACAGGGTTGATAAATTTTAAGGCAATGCATCATCTACCATTATACATTTTTCTCTTGATGTTGTAAACAAAATGGCACAGATAGTTTGAGCTCTGGACATCCAGGAAACTACTAGCAAGAAAATGTTTGACACAAAATTCTTGGGTAACTATATGACTGATTCACCTTATTCTACACAACTTCCTCTTGACATCTTCCCCTCCCGCTAGTCCTCTGACTCCTCCTGAATATCCTGCTGAGCTGACCATCCCCCTACATCAGCCCAATTGTCTCGACCATCACACACAAACCTCATCCAAATACCTTCTGCCCCACCGACTCAACATGCACTCCCTCCCTCCCACCCACACACACCCAAACCTGACCTACTTCACCCACCCACCTGTCAAACTAGCTACCACCCTAACCCTTCTCTCTAGTAGCTTGTCAAAGGCAGTGGAGCCTTTAGACTGTGTCCATCGTGAAAGATCTTGCATCAGGTGTCAGGCCTGAAAAGTAAGTCATTGTGTCATACAGCACGGAAACAGACCACTTGGCCCAACCAATCTACGCCGAACATAATCCCAAATTAAAGTAGTCCCACCTGCCTGCTCTTGGCCCAATATCCCTCCAAATCTTTCCTATTCATGAAGTTATCCAAATGTCTTTTAATTGTCCTCATGTGCACCACTTCATCAGGAAGTACATTCCACATGCAAACCACCCGTGTAAAATATTTGACCCTCATGTCTTCTTAAAATCTCCTCTCATCTTAAAAATATGCCCCCTAGTTTTGAAATCCCCCATCCTCGGGAAAAAATAACTGCCATTAACCCTATCTATACCCCACATGCTTTTATAAACTTCTGTAAGGTCACATCTCAACCTCCTATGCTCCAGTGGAAAAATGTCCCAGCCTATCCAGCCTTCCTTCATAACTCAAACCTTCCATTCCCAGCAACATCCTGGTAAATCTCTTCTGAACCCTCTCCAGCTCCCTCCTCTTCCTGTAACTGGGCGACTAGAACTGACACATTATTCCAGAAGAGGCCTCACCAACTTCCTGTAAACCTCAACATGACTTCCCAACTCCTATACTCAAAGGACTGAGCAATGAAGGCAAGCGTGCTAAATGCCTTTTCTGGCCACACTGTCTATATGTGATCCAAACTTCAAAGAATTATGTACCTGAACCCCTACCTCCCTCTGCTCTACCACTACACAATTGTACATAACGTTTGGTCTGATCTGAGTCAGACAAGGATTTCAACCCAGATTGGAAAGTTTGGGACATTCCTTCATTACAGTATAATGACCAATGCCGTTCAAACCTCATGAAACAATTGAAAATGGGTGTGCTTACTTCCAAGTTTTGACTTCAAATTCCACACCAGTTCCTTCCCATAAACGCAACAGAACACACCTCTATTTCACAATATAATAATAGAAAACAAAGAACTATGGATACTGGAGATCTGAAACAAGAAAAACTAGAAACTGCTGGAGAAACTCGGCAGGTCTGTGGCCAGAAAACACAGTAAGCGTCCAGTGACCCTTCTCCAGAACTGTGTTTCACAATAGACATAACAAGGTGTAGAGCTGGATGAACACAGCAGGCCAAGCAGCATCAGAGGAGCAGAAAAGCTGACATTTCGAATCTATTTTCTGAAGAAGGTTCCAGACCCGAAACGTCAGCTTTCCTGCTCCTCTGATGCTGCTTGGCCTGCTGTGTTCATCCAGCTCCACACCTTGTTATCTCAAATTCTCCAGCATCTGCAGTTCCTACTATCTCTGTGTTTCACAATGTTTTCTTTCTTTTACACATGCTTGAAATCAGGTAATTATGTAGAGCCAAAGAGAAAATTAATAGCTTTGGGGAGCAATGTGACTTTGTAATTTCGCTGAAAAGCTGCAATTTTCGAGGAAATTGTGATGTTAAAATCACGCTTGAGGGTGGACGACGAAGTGAGAGACTTATTTTGCTGTCACAGAGTAGAATTCTCACAATTCTGAAGCGTGCTGGGTTTTTTTTTCAGTTTGAATTTGCCTCTGAGGTGGACGGAACTCCTGAAAGGTCTAGGCCCGAAACGTCAGCCTTTCTGCTGCTTGGCCTGCTGTGTTCATCCAGCTCTGCACCTTGTTGTCTCGGATTCTCCAGCATCTGCAGTTCTTACTATCTCGGAACTCCTCCTTGCTGCCTTGCACCCAGTCAACGTTCCGCTGCAAACGGTGTGCACCCCGCCCCCGCCGGACCCAGAATCCCTCGGCCGTGCGCGGGGCAGTGACAACCGAGTAACGGAATGGCGAGCGTCGTGACTGTGGGCGCTGCTTTGCTCGGTCGGACGCTGGGAGGACTGTTCAACTGCAGGCCCTGGCCTGCGAGGTGAGTGTGGAGGGGGAAAACGACGCGAGAACCGGGGACATGGCGGGCCCGGCCCCGGGCTCGGGTTCCAATCGCTGCGACATTGTAACCGGGAGCTGTTACATTGTTACCAGCCATAGTGTTACAGCGCTACAATGTTGCAAAGCGGAACCTGATCCTAATGTAACCATCAGTGAACTGACTGAGAGCGATTCAGGGCAGGGAGCTCTGATGGCCTACACCTTCGCCATCTGTTCCACCAGCCCCCTCTACGTTTTCTACCTATCGTTGTTCCCGCTCTCAACCTCCTTCATCTTATAATTATCATTATCTCCCTCAAAATAAACCCGTATCACATTCTCCTTGCTCCTCTTCAAAGAACACAATTCACTCTCCCCACAACAGCCGCCCTCCTTCACAATACATAACCGATTCCACTGGAAAAAATATATAATCTTTTCTTCCTTCCCGCGCCCTCACTCCCGCCAAGATAAGAAACACATTACCCTCACCACCTTGCCCAAACAAAACCTATCCCTATCCAGTAGGAGATTACAAGGTGTAGAGCTGGATGAACACAGCAGGCCAAGCAGCATCAGAGGAGCAGGAACGCTGATGTTTCGGGTCTGGACCCTTCTTCAGAAAAAGCCCCCTATCCAGTAGGGATGCTGTTAAAATTAAAAGCCCTTTCCTCTTTTTGACACGATGCGTTTCATTCGCCCCGAACCTCTCAAAAGATGGGATAAATGCTTCTGGTTGCTGCGTTTGAATCAGGAACCGCAGTGCAGTGAAAAGCTCATGGCTTCAGAAGTAAATATATGAAGGTGGTTTTAATTGTGATTCTTAAAAATGCATTCGTAATAGTAACGCTGATTTATTTAATTTAGGGAAATGTTAGTGCTACAGCGTTCAAGACAAGTCCACGGCTGAACAGTTGACCCTCACACTGTGTGGATATGTTTTGTTTTAAAACTGTCCGGATGGACCACTCTTCCCCTATAAAAGGGAGGCACCTGTTGGAGTTGCAAAGCCTTTCATGGAGGGGCACTTGTAATGATATATTTTGATGGGTTTGGGAATGCCACAAACACCTATAATTCCAAACTAATATGCTAGGCACATTTGTATGTTCCCAAGCTTTGGTTTGGATGAGGCCCAGAAACTAGGAGAAGATATGATTGCAGAAGGAGAGAAAATCATCCATGTTTTGGTGAAATAAATTCACACATCCCAGTCTATTGCCTGATTTATAAACAAGACCCTTACAGTAGCTGGTGCTGAATGTGACTAATAGTGTCAATCACATGGATCTCTCCTTCTGTTTTGGGGTTTGGATTCAATGATTCCATTCATTTCATTTTTCTTTAAATTGGAAGGCCTTGATTGTCTTTATAGCAGAACAGCTATTCCCTGCAATTGGGTCATTTACTTATGGTGACTGAATAGTTAAAATTCTCTCCTCATTGTGAGGGATACTGGAACTTTTACAAATATTTTGGGGAACTGTTTTCAGTTTGATTCTGCCTTTTTTTTCTCCTATACAAACTGGCTGTGCTTGGGGTCCTTTAGGAGACAATAACAGGTGAATCTATCACTTGTTAAACTCTCACAGACAGAGGAAACCAAAAATCAATCTTTATTAAGTTTTTGATTTATTTGCAAAATGAGATGAGATTTGTCTCGCTCCTAACTCTACAACCCACCATCAGTTACAAACTCTCATACACTGATAAGTAATTAACTACTGATTGTGCCCTACCTGTGCAGTAATTTTTAATCGACCTGTATGGACATGTTATGACACCTTTGGGGTAGCTGAGACTTGAACTCAGACCTCCTGGACCAAAGGGGCACTACCACAAGACCTGTCCTCTACCGGTGAGATAGCAAGAACTGCAGATGCTGGAGTCAGAGATAACAGTGTGGAGCTAGAGGAGCAGGAAAGTTGACGTTTTTTCTGAAGAAGGGTCCCGACCTGAAACGTCAACTTTCCTGCTCCTCTGATGCTGCCTGGCCTGCTGTGTTCCTCCAGCTCCACACTGTGTTCCTTACTTGTGTTTTTTTTTTAATTCACTGACAGGATGAGGGTGTCTCTGGCCAGGCCAGCATTTATTGCCCAGAGAGCAGTTAAGAGTCATCCCCATTGCTGTGGGTCTGGAGTCACATGTAAGATAACAATGGCAGATTCCCTTCCCTAAAGGATATTAGTAAACTAGATGAGTTCTTCCGACTATCAACAGTGTTTTCATGGTTATCATTAGACCCTTAATACCAGATGCTTTATTGAATTCAAATTCCACCATCTGCCATGGCAGGATTTGAACTTGGGTTTCTAGAATGTTACCTGAGTTTCTAGATTGATAGTCTCATGATAATATCAGTAGGCCATCGCCTCCCCAAGCATGCACTTTTATGTTCATAGTATAATTGAGGTTTAGTTTTCTGAGCTTGGAGGTTTTTGTAATGCAATAGTAATGTTTTTACCTCTGCACCAGAAAGTCTGTGTTCAAATCCCACTTTCCCTAGAGATGTGTCATTATGTCTGAACAGAATGGTTAAAGAAAAATATTTTTGTACTGCAGGTTTGTGTCAGATATCCTTATCCATTCTGAAAGCAGAAAATACTCACAATACCAACCTCAGGAACAATCTTTTATCTAAAACAACCCATGATTTTCCTTGGAGAAAGTAAGAACTGCCAATGCTGGAGTCAGAGATAACACAGTGTGGAGCTAGAGGAACACAGCAGGTCAGGCAGCATCAGAGGAGCAGGAAAGCTGACGTTTCCAGTCGGGCCTCTTCTTCAGAAATGGGGCAGGGGGAAGGGAGCTCTGAACTAAATAGAGAGAGGAGGGGTGGGGCTGGGGGAGGTAGGTGGGATGGTGATAGGTGAGTGCAGGTAGACAGTGGTGGGGATTGGTCAGTGAGGTGGGAGGAGCGGATAGGTGGAGAGAAGACGGACAGTTTGTGTCAGATCAAGGAGGCGGGGATGAGAGGGAGGATTGGTCATGGGATGAGGCCAGGGGGTGGGAAGATTTTGAAACTAGTGAAGATCACATTGAGACCGTTGGGTTGTAGGCTCCCAAGGCAGAATATGAGGTGCTGCTCCTCCAGTTTCTGGGTGGCGTTGTTGTGATACTGGAGGAGGCCCAGAATGGACATGTTGTCCAGGGAGTTGGAGGGGGAATTTAAGTGGTTCGCGACTGGAAGGTGTTGTCATTTGTCGCGAACAGTGCGCAGGTGCTCTACAAAGTGGTCTCTGAGCCTCCACTTGGTCTCACCGATGTAGAGGAGGCCACATCGGGAACAGTGGGTACAGCATACCACATTAGCAGATGTGCTGGTGAACATCTGTCTGATGTGGAAGGTTTTTTTGGGTCCTTGGATGGAGGTGAGGGGGGAGGTATAAGGGCAAGTGTAGCACTTCCTGCGGTTGCAGGGAAAGGTGCCGGGGGTGGTGGGGCTAATGGGGAGTGTGGGGCGGACGAGGGAGTCGCAGAGAGAGCGGTTCCTACGGAAGGCAGATAGGGGTGGGGAGGGAAATTTATCCTTGGTTGTGGGGTCATATTGCAGGTGGAGGAAATGGCAGAGAATGATATGTTGAATCCGAAGGTTAATGGAGTGATACGTGAGGTCAAGGGGGAGTCTATCTTTGTTTTTGTTGTGGGGAGGGGATATGAGGGCATAGGTGCGGGAAATGAAAGACGTGCAGTTGAGAGCATTTTCGACCACTGAAGGGGGGGAAGTTGCGGTCCTTGAAATCAGAGGACATCTGGGATGTTCGGGAGTGGAATGTCCCGTTTTGGGAAGAGATGCGGCGGAGGTGGAGGAATTGGGAGTAGGGGATCGCATTCTTGCAGGAAGTTGGGTGAGAGGAGGTGTGGTCTAGGTAGCTTTGGAAGTCGTGAGCTTGAAATAGATGTTGGTTTTGAGGCGGTCACCAGAGATGGAGACATAGAGGTCCAGGAAGGAGAGAGAGAGGTACCAGAGATGGTCCAGGTGAACTTAAGATCGGGGTGCAAGTTGTTAGTAAAGTTGATGAACTGTTCAAACTCCTCATGGGAGCACGAGGCGGCGCCAATACAGTCATCGATGTAGTGGAGGAAGAGGTGGGGGATGGGGCCAGTGTATCTGCGGAAGGGGGACTGTTCCACGTATCCTACGAAGAGGCAGGCATAGCTTGGGCCCATGCGGGTTTCCATGGCTACCTTCTTCGTCTGTAGGAAGTGGGAGGGGGAGGAGAAGGAGAAGTTGTTAAGGGTGAGGACGAGTTCGGTTAAGCAGATGAGGGTGTTGGTGGAGGGGGACTGGTTGGGCCTGCGGGAGAGAAAGAAGCAGAGGGCTTTTAGGCCATCTGCGTGGGGAATGCAAGTATATAGAGACTGGATGTCCATGATGAAGATGAGGTGTTGAGGGCCAGGGAATCGGAAGTTTTGGAGGAGGTGGAGGGCATGGATGGTGTCATGGATGTAGGTGTGGAGTTCCTGGACCAAGCAATAGGCGGAGATAAGTTCGGTGAGGCAGGAGCAGGCAGAGACAATGGGTTGACTAGGGCGGTCGGGTTTATGGGTTTTGGGAAGGAGATAGAAATGGGCGGTGCGGGTTTGGGGAATGATGAGGTTGCAGGTTTTATCTGCGTTTACATTTTTTTTGTCATCATCGAATATTTTGCACCTCAAAGGGCAGCAGCTTGAATGCTTATCATTAGAAGAAGGGGTCATTCACTCTCTTTCCACCTGAGTCTAGAATTGAACTAGAAGTTGTCTGGTGGCATCTAGTGTTTATTCACAGCATTGCATTTTTCAAAACTTGTTTCTATTAAACAAAAAATAAATGCTTGGTTCAAATGACTACTGCCAGTTTATTGACAAGAAGGTAATGGCACCAATCAGTGTGAAGTGAGCTAATCCGATAAAACAGGACTTGCAGTCACATGTATTTCTGATGACGACTGGATGTCTTAAAGTACTTTATAGCCAATTGAATATTTTTTGAAGTGTAATCATTATTGTCAATCCAGGAAGCTCGGTAGCCAGCTCCCCCAAACAGCAATGTGATAATAACCAGAAAATCTGTTCTGTCATTTTGATTGCAGAATAAATATTGTCATGGATGCTAAAGACTGCAGGAATTGCTTGGGAAGTCTAAACTTCCTAATGGACAATTACCTGGTATCCAGAACCCTCTGAAAATGTCCTCAGTTCTGAGTTAGAGTTGGAAACTTCAGATGGTTTCCACTTACTTACCAGAATAGTTGCCCAGAAATAGTTAGAGGGATTAGAACCCATTTTAGTTACTGGATAGGTATAAAATTGAGCCCCCAGTTACTAACATTGACATCCCCACGACTGGCTACCACACCTGTATCCCTCCATGACCTGCCCATAATCCCATCCCCCACCCCGACACTGAAACACTCACCTATCTTGATCTGACAATGCCATCCCTCCATCCCTGACCCAATCTGACTACTACATATCCTCCAAATAAATAAACAGTAAATATTAATATCTCATAAGAAAAATTTACAGTTTTTGAATACTTAATTCATAGAGGAATTGGTTTCAGATTATCTGTACTACAAGTCCAGACTCTGAATTGCCAAACCAGCAATGTAACCACAACAATACAGGGACCAAGTTTTAAACATTTTGAATGTATTTACTTAAGGGATGAGCCTCATTGGCAAGACCAGCATTTGTTGTCCCTCACTCTTGGGAAGGTGATAGCAAGTTGCATTCTTTGAACTGCTGCAGTCTGTGTAGTGAAGATGTCTCCATAGTGTTCACTGTGCAGTCCTAGGATTATGAGTCAATGGTAATATATTACCCAATCTCAATAGTGTATGATTTAGAGATGGTTGAGTTTCTGAACACTTATCCTTCTCAGGATGTGCTGTCAATAAAGCTTTTGAGGGCAGCAGTGCGTTTGTTGTAGAGGGACTGAATATGTTTAAGGTCATGAATCGGGTGCCAGTCAAGCTGACTACGTTGTCCTGGATGGTGTTGAGCTCTTGAATGTTGTTGGTGATATTGGATTGCAAGCACCAATTAGTCACATATTTTTGTCTTAATGCGCATTAGACAGAAGGTTTTGCTTAATGAGCTATTTGTCTTGGTCTCTTCTGGCAACCATTTGACAAATCACATTGAACTCCTTTTGCTGTGGCTCTTGCTCGGTCTCTGTCTCCCCCCCGCCCCTTTTCTCTCGCTTGCTTTTCTTTCTCTCTCGTGCCCACGCTTTTGTCTCTCTCTTAATTTTAGGTTTTGCTCAATTGGTTTCTTTGCAATCAGTAAAACTTCTTGCATGCTTTGCGTCTTTCATTTTTCCATTGGTTTTGCATTGCAGTTTAATGGGGAATTGTAACAGGATGTCTTTTATTTTGTGCAGTTGCAGCAGTGTATGTGCAGCAATAAGAAGATTGTCATTGGATAATACCCCCTCAGCCCCTCCGAAACGGCCCCTCAATGCTTACCTGCGCTATGTGGTGGAACAACAACAGATTTTGTTTAAACAAGGTCCAGGTAAAAAGTAAATTGTAAATGTAAATCATTTTAGTAAGATATGATGTAGTGAGTTTCACCTTTGAGACTGTGCCCCTGCAACTGTTCTGTTGTGCAAGATTTTATTTCTGTGTCCTGTTTCTGAATCCTCTCACTGGCAGCATTGGAAGGTTTTGATGAAAAGATTCTGTTTTATATCTCCATCTTATTATTTTGTTTTAAACATCATGTCGTGGCCAATATTTGTGTCTTAATCAACAACACTTCTGTAAATAAAAAACGGTGATCGATAATTATCATACTGGAATCTTGCTGTGTGTGAATTGACTTCTGTGTTTCATCAGGTAACAATAGCGACTTTGCTTCAAGAGTGTTTCAATGGCTTTGAAGTTGTGAAAGGTGCTACGTGTTGAGCTGCATGCCCTTTCTTTTCATTTTGTTAATTGTCATCATTTCTGTATGTTGGTGTTTCACTTGAAGCCTTATCCTTATAACGGTATTTGAGCAAGAGTAGCCAGTCAGTATCTTTGGAGTTGCCAAGGATTCTTCTATCATTGGATGATTCTGATATGTGTAGTAGAATTTGGCTCAGTGCATTGGATGGCTTTACGTTCACTCTGGTCTGGTGAACTATCAATATATTGTAATATGGAGAGGCAATGGTCTAGTGGTATTATCGCTAGACTGTTGACCCAGAAACTCAGCTAGTGCTCTGGGAACCAGTGTTCAAGTTCCACCACGGCAGGTGGTGAAATTTGAGTTCGATAAATAAAAATCTGGAAATAAGGGTCTAACTAATTGTGGGTCTAACTTTGAGATTGCGTGGGTGGCGGAAGTTCTGCTTTAACATTGCCTAGCAATTATTAGCCAATACCACACAGTCATTTTCCATTTCTCCTTATATAATGGATATTGCTCTTTGCAGATATAAAGGTGTCAGAAAAGACTAAGCAGATTGCTCAGGCATGGAGACAGTTAACGCCAGATCAGAAACAAGTAAGTGCTTTTCATTTGGTGCTCTGGAACGATTTGCAAGATGAAATGGCCCAAAAGCCACACGTACCTGAAATTTGTCAGCATTATTTTTAAAAAAACTGAAAGAACTGTGGATGCTGTAAATCAGGAACAAAAACAGAAGTTGCCGGAAAAGCTAAGCAGGTCTGGCAGCGTCTGTGAAGAAAAATCAGAATTAATGTTTTGCTTCTAGTGACCCTTCCTCAGAACTGATGGTAGCTAGGAAAATGTCGCTTTATATGCAGAAGGTACAGCGGGAGGAGGGCGTAAGGAGTAAACGATAGGTGGGGATAGAGCCCAAAGAGACAGAAGAATAGTCGGACAGACAAAGGAGTGGATAACAATCTGGCAAGGAGGGTGAATAGCTGTTAATAGGGACTGTTAATGATTTACAATAGGTAGTGTGTAATGGCAGGCTATGTGATAACAAGGCCTGGCATGTAGGGTAAGGGCTCGAGGACATGGGAAAGTTTAGGCCCTAAAATTATTGAACTCGATATTGAGTCCGCAGGGCTGTAGGGTCCCCAGGGGGAAAGTGAGGTGTTTTTTCAGCTTGTGCTGAGTTTTGCTGGATCACTGCAGTAAGCCAGAGACAGAAACATTGGCCAGGGAACAGGGTGGTGTATCAAAGAGGCAGGCAACAGGTAGCTCAGGGTGTTTTTTGCAAGCAGAACACTGGTGTTCTGCAAAGCGGTCACACAGTCTATGCTTCGTTTCCCCAGTGTAAAAGAGACCACATTGTGAATAGCGAATGCAGTAGACTAGATTCTGGGAAGTGCAAGTGAAGTACTGCTTCACCTGGAAGGTATGTTTGGGCCCTTGGATACTGGGGAGGGAGGAGATAAATGGGCAGGTGTTACACCTTTAGTGGTTGCAGGGTAAAGTGCCATGGGGCTGTGGAGGGGGTTGTTGGGAGTGAAGGAAAAGTGGATCAGGGTGTCCAGGAAGGAACGGTCCCTGCAGAAGGCAGACAGGGCCTTTAACCCTTTCTGACCCATCTCCCGCACTTCTGTTCTCACCCCCCTCTTCCCTCCTGCAGCAGCGATAGGGTTCCCCTTGTCCTTACCTACCATCCCACTAGCATCCACGTCCAGAAGATCATCAGGCACCATTTCCACTACCTCCAGCGAGATGCTATTGCTAGGCACATATTCCTCTCCCCTTCCTTGTCCACCTTCTGCAGGTACCGTTCCCTCCAGGACACCCTGGTCCACTCTTCCTTCACTACCAACACCCTCTCCACAGCCCCGCGGCACTTTCCCATGCAACTGCCGAAGGTGTAACAGCTGCCCATTTAACTCCTCCCTCCCCAGTATCCAATGATCCAAACAGATCTTCCAGGTGAAGCAGCACTTCCCACAATCTAGTCTACTGCATTCACTGCTCACAATGTGGTCTCCTGTACATTGGGGAAGCGAAGCACAGACTGTGTGACCGCTTTGCAGAACACCAGTGTTCTGCTTGCAAAAAAGACCCTGAGCTTCCAGTTGCCTGCCACTTTAACACACCACCCTGTTCCCTGGCCAACATCTCTGTCTCAGGCTTGTTGCAGTGTTCCTGGTGAAGCTCAGTGCAGGTTGGAAGACCAACACCTCATTTTCCACTTGGGGACCCTGAAGCCCTTCAGACTCCATATCGAGTTCAATAACTTTAGGGCTTGAACTCTCCCATGTCCTAGCCCCCTACCCCATACACCAGGCCTTGTTATCACATATTCTGCCGTTAATCACTAACAGTCCCCATTAACAGCTATTCACCCTCCTAGCCAGATCATTATCAACTCCTTTGTCCAACTATTCTTCTCTCTCTCTTTGGGCTTTATCCCTACCTATCGTTTAATCCTTATGCCCTATGTTCTGCATATAAACCGACATTTTCCTCACTACCATCAGTTCTGAGGAAGGGACACAAGACCTGAAATGTTAACTCTAATTTCTCTTCACAGATACTGCTGTATTTGCTGAGCTTTTCCAGCAAGTTCTGTTTTTGTTTTTAAAAATATCCTTTTCGCTCTCTGCTGCTGTTCAGCTCATTGTTTTAAAAAAAAAGGACCTTTTGTCTTTTGTTTACCTGGGAGCAATTGGAGGAACTGTGAACATAATTGTCCTTTTATTTTTGCAGCCGTATGAACTAGCAGCAAGTGATGCCAAATTGAAATATAAAGTGGAGCTGGCAGCCTTCAAAGCTAACCTCACACCAGCTCAACTGGCCAGCTTGAAAGAAGAGAGGAGACAGAAACTGGCCAAACGGAGAACAATAAGGAAAAAACGAGTAAGTTCAGCATCGCCAATGTGTCTTACTGTGCCCATAAAATATTCTGGGTAGCACTACAATAGCAGTGTACTGTACGTTGCTGTAAACAGCTTTGTCTCCACGTACCTTATTTGGAGTACAGTGCATAGTTCTGTTCACTGCTTTGCAGTAAAGGGTGTGGAAGGACTGGAGAAATGCAAAAGATTTACAATGATACTGGAGCTTGGAAATTATCATCAGGAATGTTTGAACAAGTTGATGTTTTCTTTTCTTCAGAGGAGAGAATTAGGAGAAGGCATGGTGAAGGTGTGTAAAGTTATGAATGAGTTGGGCAGTGTAAATGCAGAGAATGTTCTACTGCAGAGGAATTGAATACATGTGGATATATCTTTCTTTCTACCTTCTTCTTAAGATTCTGTACCTAGGTACTGGTACCTAAGAATGGCACCTTGTGTGGCAACATTGTACACTTCTCATTGTACTCCTGTACATTTGTAGCTGAGTACACGTGACAAAGTCAAAATCAAAATATGGTGCAAACCATTTGGCCCCCCATGCCTGCTCTCCGTTCAATAAGATCGTAGCTGATCCGTTTCTATTTCCACATTCTGCCCCACCCCGTTAAACCTTTCATTCCCTTGCCTAACTATTTCTGCCTTAGAAAATATTAATGACCCTGCCTCCAATGCCTTCTGAGGCAGTGTTTCAAAGTTACCTGGCCTCTGAGGGAAAGTATTTCCACTCATCTTCATCCTAAAAAGACACCCCTTAATTTTAAATTGGTTCCCTCTAGTTGTGGACTTGCCCGCACGAGGAAGCGTCCTTTCCAGATTCACCTTGTCAAGGGCATTCAAGATTGCTGCACACCTCTGGCTATTCTAAACTCCAGTGGATAGATGACAAGGTGTAGAGCTGGATGAACACAGCAGGCCAAGCAGCATCA